GCGGGCGAGGGATGTGCTGGCTACGGCTTCCCATCGCCCCCATTGGCCTGGGACGGCAAACCGTGGCCAGTGGGAGCCGCGATCGGCCGAACCTGCCGACGCGGCAGGTAAACAAACTGGCCCGGCCCGCCAGGGTGCTTACCCTGGCGAGCTGTGTGCCAGAGGTTGCCGATCCCCTGCTATAGACTATGGTCCTGCCTCTCTTCCCTTTGTGGTGTGCTGTGCATTCTTGGGAAAGTTAGGAGGAAGCAGTCTCTGTCCTCCTCTGTACTGTAACACTGCCTGGCTCTTTGCATAGAGGTAGGGAAAGGCCTCCTCATGCCCTCCTCATCTGTGTAAAGACTAAGCATATTCTGGCCCATTGTAACATTTATTACTGGTGTTTTTATACTTTGAGTTAATAACTTTGCTGGAATTTATTCAAATATTCAATCCTAATATAAATAAAACTTCAAACATTTCCAATTTTAAGCAGATAGCCATTGTTCAAGAAAATGTTTTACTTAAACTAAAACTTTGGCTATATTTTTATCTGTTAAGGGTTCATATTCATAGAATCTATTTTTCCCCAGTGGCTCTGATAAGGCTTATTATAAGCCCAAGGTAGATAAGAGAAAATATACATCAATTTTATATCCATATCATTTTGTAGGAATTTTCTTTTCTTTTAGGTATGTTAATATTTTTGTAATTACTCAGATTATGTTATTTATAATCAGGAATGCAACAAAAGGCTTATGAATATGGTATCTCCTTTTTTGACTGTTATTTTTTTCTTCTTGTTTTTAAAGTGCTCTGATGAAAGGATGTCGTTGTTTGGAAATTGATTGCTGGGATGGACCACAAAATGACCCTATTGTGTATCATGGTCACACTTTAACAAGCAAAATTACATTTAGAACTGTCATCGAGGTGATAGATAAGTATGCATTTGTGGTATGTACATATATTTGTTGAAATGTGATGAGTGTTAATACGCATAACACACTTATAATTTAGGGTACTCTGGACAAAAATATGATGGAATAGTGCGTGGAGTGAGGGGTACTGTAGAAACAAACTAGATAAAATAAATCTACAGTATCTGATCTTAACTCTGTAGCATTTTAAATGAAAGGCAGTCTTGTTTTGTTGATAATTCAATGTAATTTAAACTTTGTGGACTGAATCCAGAAGACCTTCCTCAGCATATTTAGGCAAAATTCTTATTTGCAGTCAGTGAGAATTTAGCTTGAGCAAGGACTGAATATATACTGAGTAAGGATTTCAAGATCTGATCCAATAAAGTTTCTTCTCTTTTTTTGTGTTTTTATGTCTTTGCTCAGACTTCTGTGGCAACAATTCTGTCTTCTGTAGTGTTGAAGCTTGCAATATAGAGGGAACAAAAGTATTACACTGGAACATTGTTTGAGTCTTACTGTATTTTCCATTTCCTCTTCATTCTGATCATTTCATTAAAACAAGCTCTGAAAAAAGTTATCACTTCTTATCGGTCAGATGACTCATTAAAATGTTGTCCCTTCTGCCTATCTGTAGCAGAACAAGTGGAAGTTAAAGTTTTTTTGGCACTAACCCGTTCTTCCATATTGCTGCCTGCCATAACTCCTAGTGAAGTCAAGTAAACTGTCCTGAAGGGGCCCTTTATGACAAATCTTTGAGTTAGGCTGGTTTGGATTATATTTATTCTCTCTCTCTCTCTCTGTATGTGTGTGTGTGTATATATATATCTATACATACATATATATATATACCTACAGAATATACACACACACTGAAAATAAATATAATCAAAACTGACCTAACTCCAGGTGTGTGTTAGTTTGAGTGTGTATATACATACACACTCACACCTATTGCCTTTTCAAAGCTAACTGGGCTAACGTCTGTAAAGAACTTAGTATGTCTCTGATTTTTACAATATGTTTAATACAAAATTGTTATGTCCTTTCAATGCTACACATATTTTATATGAGTTGTTTCATTTTTGCCAAAATACAGAAGCTTATATATTACTGCAAAGCAGATCTCACTTAATAGGAACAAGTTAGTTGCAATCATCTGAGAGAATGGTTTCTGCATCCCATGTGGTGATCTCTGTTATGATGCTGTCCATCAATTTCAGCAGATTTATCATTCTGCCTTGCTTGTGTTTGAGCTTTGTGATGAGTAAGGAATGAGTAAAGAGTGCTGCAGTGGGCAGTATAACAGGACTGAAAACTCTGCAATACATAAAATGTCAGCCCATAATCAGACTATCAGAATGCAATGCCATCTGACAATATTTAACTGACACTTTCAGTTTAAAATCTAGACAGTTTAAGAAAACATAAGTTAAAAGTAATGTCTTGAGCCACACCTTCCCCAGCGTTCTCATGTCAATTATTGTGGTTCTGATCACATTTTCCTATTTTTTAACAATATTTCTCTCTCCCCCCACCTTGGTTTGTAAAAAACCCACACAATCAAAGTGGGAAACTGATTAAACACAAAATGATGTCAAATATAGAAAGAAAAACTGAAAAAATAGAGAAATATTGTTTACTCTAGTCTCTTTCAGTCATAGTAACCATAGGTGTTACATTTAAAATCATTTGTTCAATTTTTTTCATACAGAATATGATTTTTATCCCTTTAAAAGATCGTAGCTAGTGAAATAGCTGTGATTAAAAGATGTCAGGTGTATCTTCCAGATACCAATGATTGGCCCAAATTAAGATTCTTTTTAGGCTGCAGGGACCTGGAAATAGCAGTTTATGATGTTTTCCTTGTACTGCTTTTCCCTTGTTTCTCATTACTAAGAATATTTGCATCCAAACAGGATCATTATTTCTAAGCAATTCATCCATTCCTCTTCACTTTAAGTAATAATTATCTACCAGCATGCCCTGATAATTCCCAGAGCAACTTGTGATATTACTTGCAGGTCACAAGAGAATGATTTTTTAGGTGGGTAGTGACTATTTGCCCTGAAGAAATGAAGAATATTTTTCTACAAATATGTTGGAATGAAGGAATAAGTTGTATAGAAAATATAACACTGAAATAGACTGATGTCTAAATTGTTGTCTAAATGTTTAAGTTTTTAGATGTCAGCAGCTTTTAAAACCTCTGCTGAATTTAACCTAAATAATTTTCCATGCTTTAGTATATTTCTTGGGTATATTTTTGTTTTTTTTTCTGGTTCACATCATCACTATTTGCTTCTCAATATTTTAATCTGTTGAGAAGCTCTGTGGTGGCGACAGGCAGTACCATTGTGTTGTTGTCTTGACAGCTCCAAATATATTTGGCTGAATTTCTTTGCCATTATATGTGTGGTGAAAACTGTTTCCTGTTACCATCTTTTAGTTTCTTAGCTGATTTAATAGCTCTTTTCTCTTTTCTTGCTCCACACCCAACATTAATAGGCATATATTACAACTCTGGTAAACTGGGTTGTCCTCTACTAACCACTGAAGAAATAAACTAATATGCCCCGTTTTTCAAGATCAGAGCATAGCCATTCAAGATTTCCCTGATAAAGTACTGTGACCAGGTTAACTGATTTTTATTTGGTTTCCCTTGTCATAGTCTTTCCTCTGTTTATGTCTACATTTAAAGCTATCCCTGTTTCTAATAGCCCTTATGTTTCTGGATTTTGTTTCTGATATTAACTTTGAACTTGAAAATTACTCTTCTAGGTTCCAGTTTTACTTTTCCTCTTCCACAAATATTATTGAGCTCAATGATGCTGTGTTATTAATCTGGAATAACTAATAATACTATTTTGAATATTTTAAAATTAATGAAAACACAAATACCCATATGCTTTTTTTGTAAGATATATTGTGCATCTAATAGTTCTGTTTTTTAATTATTAATTATTATGGCCTTGAAATTGTATTTTTAGGTATCTGACTATCCTCTTGTACTGTCTTTGGAGAATCACTGCAGCCCTAAGCAACAGGAAGTAATGGCAGACTATTTAGAAACTATTCTAGGTGACAAACTTCTTACTACAATAATTGGTGATACATTTCCTACAGATCTACCTTCCCCTGAGGTAACAATGTTAATTTTCTCTCTGTGAAAGATAAGAAAAACTTATAGTTTCCTGTAGTAGTTGTGATAATCCCCTGAAGCATTTATGAAACTGTCGCATTTAGTGTTTAAAACATCTTTGTGCTTCAGATGGTAAAACAGAATAAATTACGCATCATAGAAATAATAAAAAATAAAATAAATAAAAACCAAATCATGCAGGTTGATATGCCCATGGTAAGAAAATGGTGTTTCATATAACAACTTGAAATGTATAGATGAAAAAGCATAATAATCCAGTATTTTGCAAAGGCTTGGATCTTCCAATTCATAAAGTCATGATTTAGCATTTTCCTTAGGCTTTGAACACATTCAATCTTTTATTTTATATGCAAATATAGATAGTTAAAACTTGTTGTTAACAATTTATTTTAAAAATTCGGACATGGCAGGCAGCTGCTGTAATGTGCTGCATTATTATCATTACTTGTAGTATGGAAGCACCTAGAGGCGCCAGCCAAGATCAAGGCCCTATTGTGCTAGGCGCTGTATAAAACACATAGGGCCAGATTGTGAAGCCCATACTCACATTGATATATCATGAGTATTTCCTCTGAAATCAATGAGACTTCTTGTTAAGTAAGTTACAATTCAATATGAGTAAGGGTTTGACAATCTGGCCCATAGTAAGAAACAGTCCCTTCCCTGAAGAGTTTACAATCTAAAGAGACAAGACAGACAATGAGAGAAAGGGAGTATTATTATGCCCATTTTACAGATTGGGACTATATGCACAGAGAGATTAAGTGATTTGTCCAAATTTATACAAGAAATCTGTGCTATAGCCAGGAATTGAATCCCTCTTGACTCTGAGCCCAGTGCCTTAACCACAAAACCATTCTCAGTGTGCTTGACCTAAGGCAATGTTTGTTAACTGATGTATTGTGACACCTAGGGTGGGTCACAAAACACAACACGGGGGGAGGGTCACAAGCCATGGAAAATTTTATTGTGCTCTCAAGCAAAGAAATTCTTGCTCCTCTACTCCCTGCACACCCTTGCTATTTGAGATCAAGTATTATCTGTGAATCTCTTGAAACACAAATGCACAAATAAATTACATAGTCTTATAATTTATGTTTTTTACTCTTATTTTTATAGGAAATGTAAGCGTGTGGTGTAATTTTTTTTACTTTTTACTTTAAATAGTGGGTCACCTACCTGCAAAAGGTTGAGAATCATTGTCCTAAGGGATAAAAAAAAATGGCCACAAAGAAAGCAATTTTTGGTTGCAAAATAGTTTGCAAAGGTTTTCCGAAAAGAAAGGACATAGATATTACATATGCTTTTATAAACAATGTTATGGTAGGTATTTATTCAATAAATGTAAAAAAATTAATAAATAAGCCAAAATGTGTATAGATTTGACATTAGTATTTGCTGCAGGCCTACCATCATACTAGTCTTGTCTGCATTTGATTTTGAGCCTTTGAAAAATCATGCTAGAGAAAGCAAGCACAATTTACATTGGATGATCTGGGCTGCCTCAGAGTCTCTCAATGTACAAGCTACATTTATCAATCTTGGTGGTGTCTAAGAAGTCTATGTCCTCTACAGCAAAAATGGAATCAATTAAAGGGCCTGTAAAATAATGAAATCTATACTGAGTGCCCTCCATAGACTGATTACTGTGTGTTGTAGGGAGTTTTCTTTCTTTTTCAACTCTATAAAGCTACTCTCTAAATATGACATTATGGGGTTCCACATTTATTTTCTCAAATGTTTCCTTATCAACTATCTCAGTTTCCAAATAAAAAGATTCCACCCCCCCCAAATGCTAGAATTTGCAGACTCAACCTTTGATTTAAGAGTCAACCTGAGTTCTTTCTTTTCTGTCCATCATTAAAGTAGTAAAAAAATTTCATGTCAAATTAGGCTCCAAGTTTCTCCTTTGTAATCCCATTGTCTTCAAATTCTGTCCTCAATGACACCTGAGCAATTCCAATGGCTGTAATTGGTTCACACAGATGGAACATAGTAAATAATTCTGATGATGGTGAACAAATAGGACTAAAATCAGCTCATTATCATTTAGCTGGGTTGGTTCAGTGGACTTAACGTGTAAAAAGCAGTAAAAAGTTATTTTGTCATTAAACTCATTAGCTATGTCTCTGAATGTGGACAGGGAGCAAATCTGCTGAATAATAAACTGCATTTTTAGGCCTGTTCAAAAGCCTTTCCATTGGCTTCAATAGACATTGAATCATACTCTTTAAGGCTTTGAAACTACTTATCCAGACTCCAACATGCTTTATAAATGCAGTATAATGTAAGTGGGCCAGATTCTTAGCTCCAGTGGGGGATGTGATCTGACCACAACCCCTCAATTTTGAATTACCTCAACTGGGGTAAAGCAATGTAGCTGGTTCCTATACCGACTGCTTACCCACCCCCATTTCTAGGTGTTTTGGGGAACTAGCTGGTGGATTGGAGCAGAGCTCTGTTCCATTATTCCAGCTCTCACCTGATGTCTGATCTTTAGGAATCCATAGCCAGCTGTTATAGCTTAGAGGGTGATCATAGTAAAAGAGAAAACTTGGACCAGAGTTGTTAATTTGGATGATTTGAGCAAAGGTACTCTTCTTCAAACATTACAGTCTTTCATTTTCTAAGGTATAAAATATTTATTTTAAATGAATTGTTTAAAATGTAGGGATAATTAAAATTGGTAATAACTGCTTTGATATGAATACTGGACTAAACACAGTGGGGAAAATAATCATCCTCGAAATGGCTTAGTGGCAGTCATTGGACTTCTATTGATGATGAGTTCTGTCCAATATACTTGACAATTAAGTTTGAAATGTTTGCTATAGATTCCCCCCACCATCAAATGGGTACTCACTCCTTTCCCTTCAGAATACTTTTCAGTTACTAGTACAGTTTAGAAATATTAACTGTTAAATTAATAAAAAATGTGTTAATGTAGTTATCATTATAGTTCTGTTTACATACTGTATGGATGGGATGCTTTGAGTTCCATCCCCTTTCTTGTAAATACTCTGTATAACCCATCTATATTAATATGTAAACTTGTCTTTTTCATTTAATATTTTGCGAAACAAAGAGAAAACTGGCAAGAAGAATAATGTTTGCAAGGAAACAGTTATCATGGTTTAGTTTGATCAGGTTACAGGGTCTTAAGATTTCTTTTTTATAATCAGCAGGGTCAATACATCAATATGCATTTATTTCATCTAAAGTGTTAGCTTCCTCTGTTAGCACTTCACATATTGTGTAGTTTCTCAAATTCTTTTCTAGATATTGATTACAAACAGTGCCTTATTCCAGTGTTTCTCATACTTTTTATCATTGTGTCTATTTCTGTCAAACTATATGAGCTGGGTCCCCACTTCCGTGTGTGCTAGAGACACTATTCATTTACATCAACTATTAATGAAATACTAAAATATAAAAATACAGTAACTCCTTGGTTAACGTTGTAGTTATGTTCCTGAAATATGCTAATTTAAGCAAAACGATGTTAAGCGAATCCAATTTCCCTATAGGAATTGATATAAACGGGGCAGGGTTAGGTTCCAGGGATATTTTTTTTCATCAGACAAAAGTATCTATCTATCTATCTATCTATCTATCTATCTATCTATCTATCTATCTATATACACATATACACATACACACATATACACAGTATAAGTTTTAAACAAACAATTTAATACTGTTCACAGCTATGATGATTGTGAAGCTTGGTTGAGGTGGTGAAGTCAGAGGCTGGAAGAGGGTGGGATATTTCCCAGAGAATGCCTTATTGCTAAATGATGAACTAGCACTCGGCTGAGCCCTCAAGGGTTAACATGTTGTTAATGTAGCCTCACACTCTACAAGGCAGCACGAATGGAGGGAGGGGAGACAGCATGACAGAACAAGATAGAGACACACACCGTGTGCATGTGTGTGTGTGTGTGAAAAAGAGAGAGAGAGAGACGTGCGCCTTGCCCCTTTAAGTACACTGACCCCACTCTGAGTACACTGCCTTTTTAAGTAGATCAGCAAGTTGAGACAGCAGCTGCTGCTAGCAAGCTCCCTCCCTACTGAGCCCTGTTGTGTCTCCCCCCCTG